GGGGCCGGGGGGGGGGGGGTCGTGCTTCGTGTCTCAGGAGAACGCCACCGTAGTAAGAGCTCGACTGCGCCGTGCTTGTTCGGGGGGAGGGCATGATGACTGAGACAGGCCCGACAAGCCTCTTTGATCGACACTGATAACCGCTTGTTTACTCTGCTTGGCCGCTATGGTTCTTACGAAGTTGTTGTTGTTGTTGTTGCTGCTGCCTCCTGAAGACCGACTCTCCAGTGCCTGGACATCTCGTTGCACTACGAGCCGGAGGCGGAGGAAGAGCTTCCGCCGGACGAACCACCGCAGGTGTGGTGGAGTGAAACAGACACTCGTCTGACGCTTGCGAGTTCCATGTTTAACAATGACGAGTTGCGAACGGGTGGTCTTTCTGTGAGGTCATGTTTACTTTCTAAAATGAGTTACATATATCAGCGGGGGGGGGGGGGGGGGGGCCCCCCTGCTTTGCTTGCCTTTGGGGGGAAACCTTTGCCCCCCCCTCTTCCCCCCCGGGGGGGGGGGGGTCATGTTCCAACGGGGGGAAGGGGGGGGGGGTAAGGCCCCCCCTTTCCGGGTTTGCGTGTTCAAGGGGAAAAAACCCCAAAACGGGAAACATTGCCAACGGGAAAAACCCCCGGGGGAAAAAAAAAAGGGACAAAAGGGGAAAACAACCCGCCCCAAAAACACATTTTAACCCCGGTTTTAATCCCCACGGCCCCCGCAAAAAAAAACCCCAAAAACTTTATTTTGGCAAAAAACCCCGGCCCCCCCCCCCCCCCTGTCCCCCTTGCCCCCCCCCGTTTCCCTTTTTCTTAAGGGGTTCCGGGGGGGGCCTTGCACCCCCCCCCTTTAAAGGGCCCCCCCCCCCCCTGGCCCCCCATCAGGTGGCCCAGTTCGGAAAAGCCCCCCGGCAAAAACCAGTCCGCCTTTCCACCTGCACCCCCAAAAACAACGGGCTTGCAACCCAAATTTTTCTTTCCCCCCTTCCCCCCCCCCCCTCCCTCCCCTTTTTTTCCCCC